GTAGGTTTACCGTGAACCATCCGCGAGGACGGTAAAGGAAGGCAGCGATTTTTTGAAATGAGGGTAGCACACAAAACAAGCCCCAACATTTCTGTGGACACGGCAGAATAAAGTATGTGAAATTCATAGTTTACTCTAGTATTTCTGCAATAAAATGCAGCCGTTGAGTGAACTGGGAAGACCTAAAGGCACAGAGGAGGCGGGGTTAACCTAAGCTGTATAGGTGCACACCCACTCCCCGCTTAGTGCTCGACGTGTTCTTCGCCGAAACAATAAGCTGCGTTTTTTTTTTTTTCAACTGCGCTCACCGCCTCTGCAAGAGCATAGGCAATTCCTAACCTCAAAGTGTCAGGCGCGCCGCTAAAGGAATATGAGAAAACAGAACGAATGTTCTGGCATTTTTATCACTTCGTCTTGATAGCAAGACGCTTGATTCGAGAAGGTGTCTCGTAAGCGGGAAACACATGCATAAAGAAAATGCTGGAGGCGATGCCACCTGGAAGTCCCTGCATCAGTCGGGACGGCGTCATGGTTTCTGATGGTCTACATCAGGGGTTTCAAGCTCACCTATAGGCTTGCGGGCAGCAGTCCCGGAATTCAGTCCCGTCAGGGCGGTTGCAATGATGGAACTGGTAGGCGGTAGTGCCGGGGGCGTTGGACCAATATCTCGTCTAAAACGCTGCCATTTGAAAGAACGCACTTCGCATATCTCACATGTCGATCATTCCTGAAGCAAACTCGGCTTGATTCCATACAACAGAATCGTCCCGGTGAAAGCCCAAGACGTCTATCCCCTTCTATTAGTAAAAGCAGATTCGATAAGCCGCGACATATGAATAGCGCATTTGATTGTATGTCGCGTATCAGAACCATAATCTAGCACGTAGATTTCATGAAGTTAACATAACAGGATCTGTTCGGCAATGGGAGGCCTTCATTCCACGTGCATGCATGATTTCTCTTATAATATTTAATCAGATGAGGAGGCTAACGTATTTGGTTACCACATCGTTGGCCCATTGCAGCGACAATCTGCGGATGATAAGCCGGCGAGGATGTGTGAGCTTATTTTCCACCAGAATGTCGCGGAGGTAGAGACATGCGAGCGCGCGGGTAGCTCGGTAATGTGCATGCTAACTGAGAGCATACGCACCGACCAATAGCGGAGAATTCTGGAGGCAGGTGCGGGAGGACGATAACTCAATGCATTCTCACAAGCAGCTGCGGATTGCCGCAGTCAGTCTGGACAGTTGTCATCTGATTTCGTTTATGCAATATCACTGAAACAATAATTGTGGGACTTAGCGGCTGTTGACTATCTTGATTTCCACATCAAAGACTCAAGCTTTTGGGCGCTCTCTAGGGGCGCCTCCTTTTGCTTGAAACACACCAAAAGTTGTACGCAAGGGCATCAGCGTATGACGTGCACGATGAATAAGTCATTGTATGACTAGCGTTAGATGCTTGTCAAGTGAAAATTCTGTCATCCAGTACAGCAGACTTCCTTTGCGCGATCGCGATAGGCGCTTGCATCTCAGGCTGGGCAGGCGTCGGCAGCGTTGTCGATAAGGAAAAGGTCGGTATTCTATACCCCAGAACTACGCTAGCACTTCCAACTCTTGCAAGAATGTAAGCAACATTACATATTAACTTTATGACTTTGCTGAAACCGGAGGAACGCGACGGAAGCAGTCTCTTAAGTATGCATATTGCGCAGTAACAAGCGCTTCCTTTTGATAAAACTGACACACGTGCTCTAATGCGAGTACCGAGGTCACGTCGGCCCATCAGATTGCTTTGGGTGTCACTAAAGTTGACGTGCTTTGTAAGCCGTCAACTTCAGCCTGCCTCTACTACGAAACCTTCCTGCGCCAGCATTAGCGTACTCTATCATGTCTGGTGCATCTTTTAACAAAGTAAAGTATGTCCATTGAAAGAAAATTCGGAAGATCTCACGCATTCTGGAAATACTTTATGCGATACAGTAAGCGATGACATGTGGGGTTTAACGTCCCAAAACCACCATTTGATTATGAGAGACGCCGTAGTGGAGGGCTCCGGAAATTTCGACCACCTGGGGTTCTTTAACGTGCGCCCAAATCTGAGCACACGTGCTTACAACATTTCTGCCTCCATCGGAAATGCAGCCGCCGCAGCCGAGATTCGAACCCACGACCTGCGGGTCAGCAGCCGAGTACCTTAGCCACTAGACCACCGCGGCGAGGCGCGATACAGTAAGCGCGGCCTGTCCCTTTGAGCAAGCGTTACAATGCTGATCGATGTCTGTGTAAACTGAAAAAAAAAAAGTCTAGTCTCTCCTATATACTAGACATATTTATTATGACACTACGAATCTTGCCCCAAGTGACTCAAGTATATTTTGTTTAATTCTTAAGTCAATAGGATTCTCTCCCTCTCTCTCAATGTGGAGCTAGTGGAGCCTCGGCTCCTTCCGGAAAGAGTAATTACTCTCCGCGTATGGTTGACAATCTCTTTTCTATAAAAATTGGGAGGGGCTTAGCACCAAGAAAAAAAATGGCAGAATATCCATGAGGTGAATGACGAGTGGGGCGAAGCGGACGGACGGACGCTTCGCCCCACTCATCATTCACTACGCGTGGATATGCTGCGACACCGTTTTTATTGGCATGCAATGCAATGCAACTGGCTGCTACGACGACACGGGACATACGACCCACGGCGTAAGGACCTTCGCCCCTAAAACGGTTGTCCTCGTAGTTGTGAATCACTCTTTCACGATACCAAAAACACCACGCTTCCTGGCAGGAGACACTATGGCAAGCGAGAACACGCGCAATAAGCACATGCGAAGGGGCGACGCCATCCTGAAGTTCCTGCTTCAGTCGTCGCGACTGCAGAGTTCACTATAGCCGAGACGTTACGGTTTTTGACGGTTTGCGCGGTTCCCAAACGGTGAAAATGAAGCCGTCGTCCTTTATGAAAGGGAACACGCGGGCGCGTGACCTGCGCTCGGCCGGCGGTTGCCCACGACAGTGCACAATGTCCTCAGATGAAGACAAAGCCTCTCACCGGCGTCCAAGCAACACCTGTGCCACTGGCAGCACCGTTGGTAGCAAGAGTCGCTGCTGTTGGTAACTTTAACATACTGCTAAAACACCAGCACCTTTGAGTGTTCTGCAATGCCCAATCCTAATACAGCGAAGTCAGTGCTGCTGTCGGTGCATCACGATAAGTTCAGTGAGTGGTACTAGGGACCATAGTGGTACTATAGTCGAACACGGTTACATCGAATCTTTAGATGATCTCGAAAGACTAATATGCGTGTACAATTCGAAATAAAGAAATGGTGAAGCTCGCATTAAGTCGCGCAGAGCTTGAAACGGTGAAGCTGGAAGATCCTGAAGCGTAATTTGGTTGCTTCTATGCTGTTTATCGGCTTAAGCTAGACGATGCTAGACTGTTTCTAGGGTCACTTCTAAGCGCAGAGTGGTTCGAGTTGAACCACAGACAGACACACACGACAGGGATGCCAGAACTCCAGAGACGGAAACTCGCATTGACACAGAGGGTTCGCGCCTCCCACAGATCTACGGGGCAAGTCGTCGCTCGCGTACGGTTTCCATCGCTTCGGGGGTCTCGTCGAAGTCGCCATTGCCAATCCCGTTCCCTAGATTTCTCTGGTTGAAGCACACCGTACATGCGCTTCAGCGAAGCTGAAAGGTGCGTCCACGGCAGAACTCCAGCCAAGATAAGAGGGGGCGGGGGGAGGGTTGCTCTAACACCCCCCCCCCCCATCTTAAAATAAAAGACTCAAGGAGGGGGGGGGGGGGGGGGGGGGGAGGTCTTTTATCCTATGAAATGGAAATTTGAGTTTCTAAAAGAGTCAAGGTATTACGCGAGGAGTGATTCCCCCTCCCCCCACACGAAAAAAAAAAATTCCAGGCTGCAGTCTTTATCATCAAGTTAACCCGACAGTTTATTAAAGCTTTAATTACTGGTTATGTCTACCTAAAATCTTCATTGGCACTTGCACCCGTCTGCTGCCCTCTTCATTTAAACTGGACGAGGGTCACGAGTAAATGCATATTTTTTGTGCGACAGACACCCGTTCACGATACTAGTTTTTCGTATACAGTTTTTACGGCCATTTTGAAGGGGTTTTACAACTGTTCAGTACATATATTTCCTTATATGTAGCTTCAATCGCATGTGAATAAATGAAACTATTCAATAGGTTAATGATCATATCAGCAGTGCCTCAAAGTTTTCTGTCCACAACTGCACACTCAAACTGGGCAAATGAAGCCGATTGGCTGCTCAGTGCAGTGTGAGCGATCGGTCACTTCAGAATACTTAGGCGGTGCTTCAAAAGTGATGCGATATCATAATTAATGTCACACAGCACATGTAATTGTCAATCACAGCGAATGTGATTCGGTGTTCATGCCACTTTTGTTGCTGCTGCTACTGCTGCTATATGGACATAGATAATGACATTCAAAGCAACACTGCTTTAGTGAAACCATAAGATCCTCTGCGATGTAGCTTAAGTACTGTACATGGCTAGTGAAGGCCACAATTCGTCCATCTTTGTGTGCAAAAGCCCCTAGCACGTACTTTCCACAAAAGATTTGGCAAACACCGCTGTTCTTTTCAAAATGAAGAGAAAACACAGCCTACCAACACCAATTAAGATTTGTGAACACACGAAACCAATTGAGAAAAACTTTGGTGAACTGTCAAGGTTAACACTTTGATAAACATTGGGGCAGCACGTCTCAACTTTGCTTGTTAAACACCCATACAGAGTGCTTGAGTGGCGATCTTATCAAGTTATGACTCGCTAACAAGAGCTTTGTTCACAATAAAACAATAATATCTTTGTTTTAAATTCATTTTCGTCAGTTTCCAGATCTCCTCTTTCGACCATGAGAACTCTATCACAACGGCCGTTGCATAAATGTGAAGTCGACCGAGAAGCTTTACCACACAATCAACGACAAGTCATGACAAGGATGGTGTTAAGTTGCTTAAATTATACAAAAATTTATTATCGTACACTATTTACATTGTCTCCTTGCCACGAAGGAAACAATTATATTACATGTTTACAACAAAGAAAAAATAAAACAGTTCCTTGCATAAATAAGCTACAAATCCGAAGTTTGTGTGTGTGTGTGTGTGCGTGCTATACGGCTAAACAACGTCCAATGCCTCTTTCACTGGGATAGAACAAATTGCCGAGAAAAAGAGAAAACTGCACTTGCGAAAAAACAGGTGCATGGAGGAGAAAGACGCTTCTCTTTACAATACAGGCAAACAAATCACAAGGGGCGTGGATATCGTGTTGTGGGAAGGAAGTGGAGGGGGAAGGGGGGTTGAAGAAAAGAAACAACAATAGAACACATCTTTCAGGGTTGCTCAGCAGCAGCTTTCGACTACCTCTCGACACATGACGGAGCTTTTCGAAGCAGAGACAACTTTGGTTTCTTCTTGGGTCGAGCGCCACCACTATCGTGCCTCTTCTTAAGAATCTTCTCCTCAATGTTCCGCAGCTCTAACCTCTGCAGCACGACTACGCAGTCCTTAGGAACAACTTCCCCCATGTCTTTTCTCATCAGGTGCGCATTAACAAGGCGTTGCCGATGCGCAGTCGCGGAGCCCACCTCCACGACGACACCGGGCACAAGGGCACCGGCTGACCGCCTTCTCTTCTGTACAGGCGACACCTCACAGGCGCCAGTGGCTGGCGCTCCTCGCTTCTGCAGAAGCCTTCTCGACAACGGAACCTTAGGCTTGACCAACAGCTCTCGCTTGGCTAACAGCACTGGCCTGATTAACTGCTTCACTTGGGCTGTCAGCTCTAGCTTGACCGATGAGATGGCCTTTGTTGCAAGCCATCCTTGGTCAGGTGTGTCGACATGGTTCGTCAGCATTCGTCCGCTGCCCTGGCCAGATTCCCCACGCATGACACTGCTCAACCAGGAATTGGCAGCGTCTTGAGTCTTTGGTATCCTGAACTTCAGTCCGTCGAGCAGCCTCGACAGCATCTGCCTGTCGAAATCCGGTCCAATCACAAGCTTGCTATTTGACTTCGGTGATGAGATGACTAGTGAACTATCGGAGGTGGCTTCGACAAGCAGCATGTTGCGTGATGGGTGCAGCCCGTCGCTCAACCTACGCCGACGAGTGTAAGGGATGATGACAGAGCCATCATCAGCGAAATGCGAGACCACTTGGGGAACATGCGACGTGGCGCCGTCCACCTGGCCAGACAAGAACAAAGATAACGCGGACAGTATGTTCTCAACGTTGCGGGCTGAGCCAGGCTCTCGGTAGGCTTGCAGCGCCGACGACGTAGCCTTGGCAGGTGTCATCACAGGCTGCATCAACCCGAGAGGACAACACTGTCCGTTCCGGGGAACGTTGCAGTTGACTAGATTGGGTGAAAGTCCAGTCAACGATGAAGAAAGTTCTCGTGCAATCACAGTGCTTTGAGGAAGCCCAAAACTTGCCACAGAAAGAAGCCTGGCCAGGCTCTTGGTTAGCAGGTGAACAGAGGCAGCAGGCTGCGGCACGAAACTGCTGTACAGAACCGGGAGAGAATAGAAAAATAAACTTGGTAAACATTAGCAATTTGTGTTTGTCACACTCTCAGTGATAGAGTTTCTGAGCTGCTACAAAATGACCTTGACTGTTGCACACTGTAATAGTACAATGTGGTCAATGCAGCCCCTGTCCACGGTACATGAGCTGTATCGATTACATTGTACTAATAGTAGAGTATTATTTATTGTATTAAATTTGAACCCAACGAGACCAAAAATTTTGTCTATTCAAGCCAGAGGCAGAAAAATCAACAAAATACGCTGCTGACTCATCTGACAGTCATTGTTGTCAGATTAGTTGTCGAATAAAACTTATGACTGAAAAGCAAGTAAACAAAGAATGACATCGGAGTGCTGAATCACATAAAAAACATGCATACAATCAATAGCATTAAGAACAAGTGCACGCCTCCAATTATGGCATCACCAATTAACTTTATCTTCCCTGATGGAAACTTTAGTTATTGTCCATCATTGTCACTGATGTTTAGTTAACTAGAGTAAAATTAAACAGGTGCCGACACTTTTTTTTTTTGGAGGTGTGTTTACACTGCCATACAAATCTCATGTATACAAAGCCAGCTCTAAGAAAGTATGAGGCTACCGAAAATCTGGCACGATACATTATTTTGACGTAAATGCCAATTTTCTCATGGCACACCTACCGACATCGACACTACCTTGACGTTGGGCTACATTATGAATTCCGGAGACTTCACGCAGCAGTCTGGTTGGTTCTGATAACGTCAGGCACCAAAATTTCCGAAATGGTCACTTGTGTGTCATCAACAGAGGAACCGTACCGAGCGGCCGTGGAAACGTCGGGATACCTTGTACAGGCATGTGACGAGAAGCCCATACTATGCTGTGATGTCAGGGTACAGTAGGACTAGAAACTAGCTTTCAAAAACACACTATCAGAGGGCACTCACGCTTAGCAGTACATTTGATAGACTATTGAGGGCTTGGCCTTATAAAAAAAAAGGACAACTAAAATTTTCGTGTCAATACATTTTAAACGTCGATGAACTGGTGCAGAATAAATGTGACGAGGTGAAACTGTGCAATGCAATATCAGAAACGTGTCTTTAGTACTTGCTGTTTTTAGACAATTATACAGGTCTATAAGCTGTCATGAACCACCCCTCTGGCTTGGTGAAAAGGCAGCATCTTCAGTGAATAGCAGACATTGCTATGAACATGGCAGACATATCTTGCACTAATACACGGCGACGAGAGTTCACCAGTGAAGCAAGAAGTTGACCTTTTTTTTTTCAGGGGCCCTTTTTCCACATAGAGGCCTATCCTAATTCACTAAGGAGTTGCTGACGCCTGCTGTCCGACGTCAAACAGCGTCTAGCATACCTATCAACACGAAGCAAAAGCGGAGTTTAGATCAAGTACGCTTCTTGCCATGGGGTGCTGCCACGTTGCCAGAGCTGCAATCTGTTGTCGGCAAACATTCCCACAGTAAGCCACCCTCGCATGCAGGAATCACAGCAGGACAGAGGAATTGCGTTTCGTCACGTGCGCTAAAGATATTGACGTGCACTGGTGTAACTTTCCTTCCCCGTGACATCTCCCTCCCCCCTTCACTTCAGCTTGGTGCTTTTGTTGCAGCAAGAGATTACAGGACGTGCATGACAAGCCCTCGTAACTCTGCTCGTTCTTCTACGGTGCATTAAGACAAAAGACCTAAATTGGATTAGGAGGGCGGACGGCGCGCAACGCGCCCTCACGACAGTGTTTCTCGTCATTCACACCTTTTTTCTCCTGGCTCACAGGTGGACGACCTCGACCCCATTTTTTAAAACCACGATTTCGGCAATGGGATGCCGCTGCTTTAACGGGCGAACAGGCTGGCAACCAGTGCACTTTCCTTCTGTACGAGCCACACTACAGTCCTTGCGGTCGAGTTCAACACTTCTGGTACTTCAGTTTGTTTCCGGGACCTTATTCTAAGACAGTCATCTACTAATCAACATAACTATTAATCTGCAATGATTGGTAGGTTGGAGAGTAGCGGGTCAGTCGTTGCTTTTATCGTTGCACATGCGAAATTCTGCGGCAGGTACAGTGTGTCGCTGTATGTGAGTGCAGATTTAAAAGTTGAGATGTGAACCAAGAGGAAAAAAAAAAATCAGCACAAAAATGTGCAGCAGGGCCATGAGCTTTGCCGGTACCCGTTATACGAAAAAAAAAAAAAACGCTCTGTCGACATCCGCACATCACTGTATCCTTCCTGCTACTATGGGCTCCACACGACAGTAGCAAGGTCAGCCTTCAGCAGTTCTCAGTACAGCAGGTTTTTTTTTTCCCATCCAGCCATTTTGCCAACAACACCGTTTTTACCGAAACAGATCACAGTGGTTGACAGTGCTCGACAAAGCTCAAAGAACTTCACATATTGTCAGCCTCCAAGTTGTGGAATTCCCTTAAAGAAGCAGTGACACCAAATTTCGAACTCGAGATGTGGTGTTCGTTTGACTACTTGGTACACAAGTTTTTATTATTTTTTTGCAAAGTATGAATTGCGTTAATTTCTATTTCGAGCGTAAAGAGCATCAAAGGCTCATCAGTGTGTTCCTGGCCATGAGACATTAACAGTATTTTGACATTTTCAACAAGTTCCTAGGCCACGCCTCGGAAACCTAGCGACGATGAGCGAGTAGCATTGACGCCGACAATTTTAGTGTTGTCATCATGTTAACTGCATGTGGTACCATCTGGCGGCAGCGCCTGGTTGCCTAGCAACAGCTTCACTTGCTTTGTTTTTCTTGGATCGCGCGGTGCATTCGTGTAAATGAAGCGTTTTCATTGTGGTGCTTCGGTTTATTTGTTGTGGAGTCGTGATCGCGAATGTTATCATTTGAAGCTATGGTCATCGTGAACAAGTAACACGCACGCAGTGTTCATATGTCCTACAAGCCAGCATAGCCCAGACGTGCATCTACAGGTGTCTCGTCACTGCTCCGCACGAGGTCAATTGCATAATCACTGCTCAGAAAGGAATTGAACCGAAAATGATTCGCTATGCTGCGAATCACCACGATTCCATATTCCTCGGTGCTTTCATCGTCGCTTTTGAACACCGATGACGGCGACAACAACAATGGGGGTGGTGATAACGTGCCTACACACATGTGCCCTGAGCAGACGAAATGTCAACTGAAGGTTGTGTCACCATTTCGTGCAGCCACGTAATTCGATGGGGCGGGACCAGCGAGGTGACAGCGAGGTGAAGATCGCCAGGCTTTGCATCCGATTTGAATTGATTTCTGTACTGGCCATGCTAATCATTATTATTATTATTATTATTATTATGCGTAAACTGGATGTCACTGCTCCTTTAAACTGGTGTGCTGGCAGTGGGTGCAGATGAGCACAGAGGCTGTGGACTAGAGTAATGCGGCTGTTCTTAAGACACCGTTCAGCGAGTAGATGTGCCTTGAGGCGAATCAATCCACCCGCGAATTAGCAGTTTGCCTAAAATGACAAATCGGAATTCAGTCTCTTGTCTGAATGCACCATCATGGATATGAGAAACTTTTGCGGCAATTGATTCATGAAGGCAATAAACTCCCAATACTGAGGTCATTTGATAATTACTTACAAAAGTAGTTCGTGACCCCTTTTATCAAAAAGCATCATGAAACCAAACACCCACCTCTTTTTAACTTGCCTGAGTGCTGACCGATGGGAAAACCAGCCTCCAGACCTCCTAGGTGCAAACCTTCTGCAGACTTGCACTTCACTAGGCAGAATCATCGATGACGCGCACTTTCTCTTCAACTCCACTAGGTCGCGAAGCCTCAAACCATACCGCAGGCGTTTCAAAGCTTTCCTTTTCAATTCTGCGTTTCTTAAATGCACATCTAGGATGGGTACGACAGCAAATTCAAAACCCGGTATGACAACCGGGGTTGGGTCAGTCTTCGTGTCCTCAACATTCTGCTCACACAATGCAGAGACCACACACGAGGTTCCCGACACTGACGACGTGACTTCTTCCCCTGATGTCGATGCCGCAGCCAAGGTGCTACCGTGATCACGGCCACACCGCTCCAAGAACCTTTGCACCAATGCCTCGACAGCTAGCGCACGCGACAGCTGGCCTGAGGACAGCTTGTTGGTGACCTTTTTGAGCAGCGCTGTGACCTTCAGAAGAGCCTTCTCCTTCTTGGAACACATGACTTCTGCGACGTGCTTGTCCTCCTTGGGGAGCGACTCCATTATGCAAAAGAAGCTGCCTATGTTGGTGATGTACTCGTCAATGATGTCATGCACCGTTGCCCTCCCCTTCATGGTCTCAATGATGCTGAGCGTCGTGAAGAGGTCGATCTCAGCCACTGTTGTCCTGTACATGTTCTCGCTGGCTCTAGGGCTCGGCATACCAGATCCCTTGCGGATACCGCACTTCGCGGCCAGCACTTCGTTAGAGGAGCTGATTCCTTCCGGTTGGCAGATTTCCCTGGCTGAAGTGCGCACTGACACCCTGTCCGAAGGTCTTGGGGAAAGGCAAGGTTGCTCCAACTCCGCGCTCAACCGTGGTGACAGCCGCTCCTTCCCTGGCAGGGTCGTTGACTTGCATGGGGGAGGTGATAAGTTGCTGTTCTGCTGCACACTCGTGTAGACGCTCAGAGAAGCGGGGATGTGAATTCCACTTTTAATGTCGCTCCGCGAAGTTACGGACAATTCAGGATGTGCGCGTAATAACAAAGTGCTGCAGCCATGGAACTTGCTGTTAGTCACATCGAGGCAGTGTGGCATAGGCAGTGCTTCTTTGACAAGGAAATCTGGCCGCTGATGATTGCTGAGGTGCGATTGTCGGGGAATGCTCAACACTTCGAGTGGCTGTGAGACACGTGTGATCTCATTCGCTTGGTGAATGTAACCACCTTTCAACCCCGCATTGCTCGTGACAATGCTGACAGACAGAGACTGGGGCCCCTGCGCGACATCCAACGCGACATCTGGCCGGTTTCGACATGCCACCTGTAGCCTCCTGTCCTTCACTTGACCTATAGAGATGCTCTTGTTGGCTGCTATCTTTTGAAGGGCGGCTTCCGTTAGCTGTTGCGATGTGCAGATGTCAATGGGCCGCCACAGGCCCCTCTCCTGCGGAAGTTTGCAGACCTTAGTGTCTGTAGCCCTCACAGAACTACCAGAAATGCAGTGGCTGGTTGTACTTACATCCATTGACACTGGTGACCTGACAGGCCTTGGGGCGCATTGCACAGCAGAGACGCCACACATATCTGTTGGAATGTGGCCCATATGATTGACAATTTTGACGTCTGTTGCCAAGGGCGATTTCACAGGGCTTGGCTTATCCTGCACAGCGCAGCTGCCAATACTAGTGTGGCCAGTCGGGCTTGGGCTTTTCACTTCCAATCCAAGCGGAGACCTGACCGGACTTCGCATGCTCCTTACGTTGCTACTCTGCAACTTTGAAGGATCAAAGCTTTCTCGTTCGACCGTGCCGGGAATTTTCAGAATGGGCACATTCCCAAAGATAGGTGACAATCGGTTCTCTGGTGGTGACTTCACTATAAGTTCAGCAGATTTTGATCGTACGCAAGGTTTGGAGCTCCCAGTGAAGACTTCGCTCAGACAGGTGGCCGCAGGAGGTACCACGAGACCGATATGTCGCACAGACTTCACGTCACTTACTGGGAACTGCGAATTGGGAAATTGTGGCCTGGAATGCATGCTGGATGGAGCGAACGTGTTGTTGCTGCTGCTTGAAAGCTCTTTCTTTACGTTCAGAGCCAAGCGATTTTCTTGCGTGGGGCTTTTCCCTTTTGGGGGAAAGCTGTTTGTTGAAGACAACTTCTCAGCTGCTGAAGGGTGCTCCTTTGCCCGGGCCTCGACCGAGCTGTCCAAACTTGATCGTGATGACCCCTGTCGAAGCTCCATCATACTTTCCTGTACAAGCACAATGTTTCGTAGGCTCTCAGACATTTCCTTCCCAACAAGCGATGAGCTGCCACGACTCTGACGCTCCACAGAGTTGCTTGACGGAGTGATGGCAGAAGACTCCTCTTTAGAGTTTCTCAACTCAGACGGGGCCGAAAGTTCGGCGGCTGGGAACTCAAGACGAAATACACCAGTCTCGTTTATCCGGGGCAAAATCTCCGATCCGACGGCACTGGTCTGCAAAGGGTCATTGCAGGCTTGCATCGACTTCGGAGACTGCTCTGACGGCTGCATTTCTTTTGGACCTGCAACTGTGTTTGAACCTGCTTTCGCTTCAACAGCTGTGCCCAGAGATGATGTAAGTGTGTTGTGTTTGACAGATTTGTCGCTGCCCAGACAGGCCCCGAAAGATCCTGGTTGGCCCGAAGAAGGGCTTCGGGAGGAGCATGAGTCTTCTTGCCGAATGCACTGTTTTCCACTACCACAGTTGGTTTGATTCTCTTCCTTAGTAGCTGCCGGAATTTTGTCGACAACTTCTTGTTGACTCTTTGGCAACTTGCGAGAGTTCCGAGAAGCAATCTTCTCGACAACCTGGTGAATGATGCTCAACTGCGATGTAGCTCCGTGATTCGGTGGTGCCTGCTCGAGAGCTTTTGTGACCGTTTTGCTGTCGTCTACTGTTGCTGCCAGTGCACCATGGACGTCTCGACACGGGACTCCTGCAATCTCCTCGGGATGCTTTGACTGTGGCACGCTTGTTGCACTGGCGTCCTTACAGGAAGCAGTGGGCACCTCTGCTTCTTTCATTGAAAGATTGAGAGCTTCCTTGAAAAACTTGCTCTTTTCAGAATCCTTTTCGGGCGACTCGGTCGACGCACCCCTCCCTGAAGGGGAGGATGTGAGGTCGAGACAAGACGCGGCCGACGCCTCCTGCCTTGACTCTCGCAGGCGCTTGTTCCGAGCATGTGTGACCGTGAGCGGTACGCTGGTGGCCGCATTAGGAATGTAGCGTGGGATGACGAGTTCTGGAGACTTTTTTGGGTGCTCTGGTAGTGGCTCCTGCTTATTTCTGCTACCACCGCTATTTCTCGGACTGTGAGTGCTAACCTTGTGCCCTGCTTCCCCACTGGATTCCTTCTCGACCGCCGGCAGTGGTTGAGACATGGCTGAAACTTCAGCAGAGGAGCTAGAAACACGAGCGGGGCCACTCGCGGGCTTGTCCTGTTGAGTGTCAATCGCGGGCGCGGGCTTGGTGATCTTAACGGGATTCGTCCGCTTGCGGCCCCTCCGCTGTCCCTTGGCCGATGCTTCCTTGGACTCTGACGACACACGAGGAACCGAAGGAGCGTCCTTGCAACTCCTATCTGGCTTTGCGTGAGGTGAAACAATGTCTTGCTCTTTAACGGCTTCAGCTTCGTGTGTCCGGACCCACTTGCTCTGCTCATTAACCCAGTCTTCGACGGACTTTCTCTTGCTTTTGCGCATGTCCCTCTTCGTCCCGAGCTGCAAGTGCCGCGTGGCACTGATTTGTTCTAGGCTCTTGCTTGTTGTAGTGCTAGACACAACGCGTACCGCCGTATGCTGGGCAGACCTGGTTGCTGTAATGGGGATGCTCTTCAATTTGGGGGGAACGGGAGAGGAAGTGAGCGAGTCTGCGACAACGTCTTCGCAAAAGCCAGAGTCGTGGAGAGTCTCCGAAACTACCGCGGGACGCAGCTGCTTCTCCACCTTCAGGATGCACTTCTCGTCGCGAGTCACTCGCAGCGTGATCTTCTCCGGCCCCTGCTCGGGCTTGGGCATGCCCTTGCCTGAAAGGCTCTGAAGAGGCTCCTGCGTCACCGCCTGTACCTTATCCATGCTCAGCTCCTTCAGTTGACTAACCATGGTCTTAAGTTGCTCTGCGGGTGGACGCTTCCGCTTGCTTTTCCGGCGCCCGACGGAGTCTTCAGTGTCCGATGACTTTCCTTCAGACACATCTCCCTGGCTTTTGGAGCGCGGTCGCAGCTGGAGATCTTTTAACACGTCCGGCGCAGTTGGCGATGACAGCACATCGGGGTGCTGCGGAGGAGGTGGGGGAGGGATGGGCTTGATTTTGAGGCTCGTGATCACCGGAATCACGGGCTTGGGCTTCTCAGCAGTTGCCTCGACGCGATGCGCAGGCTTCTCAGCAGCTACAGCCATCTCACCACGGGCCATCATGTGAGCCCGCTCTATCTCTTCGTTCAGGCTGTTGACAGTGGCGAGCTTGGGTCGGCCTCGCTTGCGTGGTGATGTGTGGAAAAGCGATGGATGCGACTTGCTCAGGGTGAGGTATGACGGGATCACGGGCAACGGTGGAGTGACTGAACGGCACGGGGGTTTTGAAGTGGGAGGTTCACCTACTGGTGACACGTCGCCCTGACTGGTCTTACGAGGACGCTTGTCTGCGGAGTCGTCACTGTGACTTCTCACAGAGATCCTGTTTGGCCTCAATGTGATAGAAAGTCCCCCGGAGGATGCCTCTGTACCGTCCTTCTCGGATGGACCACCTTCTTTCACCAAAGCGGCGGCCGCTTTCATGGCGTTCATCTTCTCTTCTGCCTTCAGTGCCGCACGGCTGATGCATGTCTGCAGCTCTTTTGTCTCTGGCATTTTCTCTTCAACGCTACTGTCCACTAATGATGGTGGAGATATCGCCAAGCTACTGCACGTCAAACGAGCATCTACGTCTTCAACTACAATGTCGTTATTCGTCACTTCGTCGCACACAACATCACCTGCACGTATTGCACTCTTCAACAAACCGTCTGCAATGCCTTTGTCGATGCCATTCAATGTGGGAGTTGCCACCTTGGGCTGGTACTTCATGACAAACCCTGCCGTTCTGGCACTCGAGCCACTGTCGGGGCTCACTTTAAATGTCAACGTAGGCTCGCAAACGTGAGCTGGTTTGCAGCCAGCGCCTTCATGTGCCGATAGAGCTACAGGGACCACAGGTGGTGTTGCTTTCTCCCTGTTTACACTCTCAACCACTACACTCTTCATGGAGCTTGGAGGTACTTTCGCCAATGGGCATGCCACGGGCTCGCATGGTGCAAGGACATTGGCCTCTTTGCTCGAGGCTGCCGATTCCTTGGGCTCAGACGCGGTCTCGGGTTTCTTGGTTGAAGAAGGTGAAGCAGTCGCTGGAGCAGCAACCGTGTTCACAGCCCTGGCTTCGCTTGGTCCTTTTGTAGTCAAAGAAGCCGGGACCGTTGTTGTGGAGGTACAAGGTTTGCTCGCATCAGGGATATCAGGTACTTTTCGCTGAACACTGCACATTTGCGCGGCGGCAACGCTGGGCACTGTCGTCGCCGCAGTCTTTGTTGGTTTACTCTCTACACTTATGCCCGTGACGAATGCAGGGTTGGTGGTTCTCGTAGGTGGGGAGGAGTCGAGTTTGCTTTGTACTTTCGGATCTGCGATGCTCGTGCCACTCGCTTCGTCGGTAGGCTTCAAAGGGGCCAACTGGGAGACAGGTGATGCACATTCGACAGGTTTCGCAGGCACAATGGGCGTGGTGGTTTCCTTCTTGCAACCCCTGCTTTCCTGGGTAACGTTCGCACTGCGAAAAGGACAGAAATGTACATTAGAACGTTTCGTACCAACTGAAGACATACAATTTGATTGGCATATGTGTTTACATAAAGCAGTTGGTAACCATTATCACTGAGCGTAGATCTTTGAATCATTGAGAGGGAGGAGCATTCAGAAAAATACAAGCTAGCGAAAAGAGCTTCTTGCCCCGCAGACTAAATGTGAAAATATCTTCTTCAGGTCCAAATGATCAATGTGTCAAATTCGCATATCATAACTCCAAGGCACTCTATATTACATTCCAAGAAAGAAAATGAAACGTGTTGCTTTAAGTCAGTTACATTAGTTAATTGTAGTCAGCACATAATTAATTACTGCATTATTCTGCAGTCAGTCATGTTCCATTTGGACACACGAAAAATGAAATCATAGGCTCCAAATGTGTGCGCGTTTATTTTTTGGCTGCATTCATTTTGAAAAAATAAAAGCAATACTTTTGACCTTAGTCCTAAAGCACGGCACGTTGCTCGACAATTCGAACATGCTAGCGCCTTCACCAAAGGGGTCTGTTGCAGTCATATGCGGCACACTGAGGCTCAGTCAAGAAATAGTGACTATGAAGAAGGTTCAGTTCATCCAACTTCAAATGTGTTTAGCTCTCTTTTGGCCATAAGTTGACACAACTAGCATAAATGTGTTTCACCCACAATCGTAGCCACCGTTGCTGAAGGGGTTATACACACAATAGAAACAAAATGCGATACTCAAACCTCAATGTAAGGAACCGTGATATAAAGAAATACCAATTATAACAAAGTAAATAGAAGCAGACTTGTATAGTTATAAGGTTAGGAATAAACCTTTATGATAAATTTTCAAATGTAACAAACTCATTTTCATGTAAGATGCAACTTCATTATAATGAGGTTTGAGTGTATAATACGGTAATACTCCCGAGTTCAAATTCGCTGCTTCAAATTTGTTAAAAAAGCTGTGTGTAACATTTTGGCACGTCACGCTCATAATGCTGACAGTGTTGCAAATAATTCACCCGTAAAGGATATCATAAGCCAACAAGCCACACAGTTAATGAGGAAGCCAAAAGACTTAAAGGGAGACGCTCCTCGAAAAAGTTTTTTTTTTTTATTTCTAGTAATAGAGACTTGAAAAGTTTGTTATTAGTATAGTTTTTCATGCAGATTTCAAATATGCAATCATTTTTTGTGTAGCTGCTATAATTATTGAGTTATGCCATAAACAATAGCAAAAAGTTACGTTTTTTGCGGGCACTCTTTTATGTACTAAACTTTCAGTAAAAGCACTGTGTCTGATCTTATTTGACTCTTGGTAGATTGAAAAGTGCAAATATCTATATAGATATGTCACAGAAATATTGGAACCAAGAAAAAAAAATTGTATTGAATGACTTATTATTTTCAATCTCCCTTGAAACAATAAGCTAATATTTTCACAACTAATGCTGGTAGGCATTGCAATTTAGAGTAGATATTTGCATTCTGCATGTGTTGAAGAATATGTGTGCCAAGTTTCGTTACTATACAATGAATATAAGTTTCTGAAAGGCTGCCCGGAAAACGTGAAACTGTCAGAAAAAATGAAAATGAGAAAAACAAGTTTGAAAGTTCGCAAAGTTGGCATTTATTAGGAAATCATTCTTTTTGCATCAAATTGGGGCACAATGAAAAGTACCTTGCCTTGAATGCACTGCAAGTGTCTAGAAGTCCCCTGCACCATAGCTTGGTCCTTCACGGCTCTTGCGGTCAGTGTCCTCAACACGAGCTCTCTTCGCTGTGTTGCGACGGTGTGCCCTCGCTTCTGCAGTTTGCTTCAGGTTCATCTTCCTGATGCGCATGACGTCACAGTGGTCACCATGTGTGGCCAGATCTTGTGAGGGGAGAATTCCAATGCCTTCGAGCACTTCTTCAAAGCCCCTGTGGCCTTTGTTGTACCAGAGTACAGCAAGAGCGGTGGCTGTCTCCACAGTTGTTCTGGAGGCGAACTTTGTTTTTGGACATAGCAGCCATATCTTGCTGTTCAGCGATTCGGCTGCATTCTGTGTCTTGCCATGAAGGCACCGAATAAGGAGTTTCTCCTCTGTAAGGCGCTTGTAGATAGGCATAATTGCCAATCCTTGAGCCTTCGTCAACAGTGGGGTGTGGCGTGGTGCAGGCTCCCCCAGTGCTTCCGCACGCTTGTGCTTGCACCACGAATTTGGTCCCGTGGGGCAAAAGTTGTAGCTACTGGCACCATCACTGGAGCAGCAAAGAAAATACGATGCCCATATGGCAGTGTACATATTTCGGACACTGTCCTTGTTGCTCGTGATGGCGATCTTGTAATATGTTTGTAGTTTTATTATTGCCGCATCTTTCAGTTTTTCGCCTCGTGGCAGTGGCGTTGCCAATTTCCGTAGGGCAGTTCCCAAGCGCTTTGCAACGTGGTTCGTGCACTCTTCTTTGTCAATGGGGGTGTCACAGTATACATTTGCCTCGCAGACTGCAGTGTAGGCCTTGCTGTCAGCATCACTTAGGAAGCTGGTGAATCGCAGTGGAGTTTCATAAGACAAGGTCCTCTGCCATATATTGACAGCTGCCGCAGGTTCCATTGCATGGGATGAGCAGTCAGTGTTTTTTTGGCAAACTGGAAGATGAAAAGCTCGCCATATCTCTTCATCCTCCCCAAGGTCCCTGTGTATACTGCAAGCATGGCAGTAGTTCGAAAGAACTTCAAAATCGAGGCAGAGCCCCGTGTCCAGGGACAGACTGTGCCCACTCCATTGTGGCTTTTATGACCTCTTTTCTGCCAGGTGCCATCAAACATGACTGGCACATCTCTGCCGCCGACTGCGTCCTTCGTGATATTTCGTGCCTGGTGCAAGTTTTTGCTCACTGCCGTCATCGCCGCACCATGGAGCTTCTTGCAAATGCCGTTGAATGTCTTGTGATGCATCGGGCTCGGAAGACCGAGAATCGCACAAAATCGTGAAAGTTGGTCGTGGCCTGCGCCTATAGTGCGTGTTGCCAGAACTGCCTTCACGTTTACAGCAAAGCTATCACGCGAGCTGCCGCTGTCAAAACGAGCGCTCGTTCCTTGGTCCCCGGCCGAAGCAGTACGTCTCGACGTGTGCGTGAACGAAAGTGCAGATTCAGGGCAATCAGAATTTTAACAGCACAGTTCGAGGAATGCCGAAAGTCCTTTGCGCTTTCCAGTTGCCTCTCGCACGCCGAGCTTCCGTTTGCGGCAGGTTGGGCATTGCGCACCCGCCACAAGTGCCGTCAGCGCATCGATTTCGCAAAGCAGCATGTTCGCAGTAGCAGCATCTACCGGTCTACGTTCACTCTCGAAGAATCCAATCTTCCTTTGGGATGCACTGACGAATTCCACGGCAGCGGCTATTTCACAACCACTGTCGCAGGGTTCGGTGACGGTGTTAGGCCTATCCGAAGTTGGAGCGTCGGGGCGTTGGTCGGGGGCGACATCGTCGTTCGCTGTCGCTTTGCGAAGCGTCCGACGCCGTTTCCCTCAATACTTGTGGCGAGTTCTGAACTTTCGATTATCTGAACTGCACTTCTTCGGGCTTGCCATGACGCAAAAATGCAGAGAAACGCAGAAAAACTCGATCGCGACATCCGAGGCTTCGCTCTTTTGCCGGAGAGATAGGAGGGGGAGGAGCGTGGAGCGCACCGCCGTCCAATGGCGGCCTCGCGCTGTGTGCCGCGATATTCAGAACGCGCGACGTACGCATTGTTTTTCTCGTTTTTGTTTATTCTGCGTGAAGGCACGAGACTGGCTACTAGTGGATTATGAAGGATACGGCCTTCGCAGCATGCGTGCACGATTGCAAATGGCAGCCAACGCGTCGTTTTCGCGACAGGACGACGCGAACTTTGCCGTTTTTCGCGACTTTCGCGCATTTCTCGCGTCACCGCTGCCCACTTGGAAGCATTTTTTGATAATTTCTCGTGCGAATTTCAGGTTGATATTTTCAGAAGTAATAGATTATAGTCCAAGGATGCCAATACAGCCGGAAAAAAAAAAAAGCGAAAATTTTCCGGAAAACCGCGACTTTTCGACCCGCGTCTCCCCTTAATGAAGCACGTTTTCAGGATCTTGGGAACTAGGATGAGTACAAATGCTTGGTTACGCGTGCAGTGGGTGTGTCACGAAAGAGGAGATAAAATCCTCTCATAATGATCTGTACTGTGCGCGCGCGCGCACAGTACAGATCATTACACAGACACACACACACAGACACACACACACAGACACACAGACACACACACACACACACCCACCCACCCACCCACCCACCCACCCACACACACACACACACACACACACACACACACACACACACACACACACACACACACACACACAAATACTTATGCAAGTTTAATATCCCAGAACATCTGATGCATATGAAATGGAATCAAGCGCGACAATGTACGATTCCAAGTTATATAATAAACTTTATAAGCACCATCTGTCGGCTAGAGCTACTTTTATATATAAGATTAATATGTTCCAAACTTCAATATGTCTCATCAAATGAGGGATCTTTCCCATGATAACTTAGCGACAGTACTTGAAAGGAACAAAGCAGAAAACTTCATTATTAGTGAGGAGTGCGCATTCAAGAAGACGACACAAGGACACAACACGAGCTCTCACTTTCAAGTGAAGATATCACCTGACTCTGCACAGATTAATGCTGAGAGTTTAATACTTTCCAACTTTTATCACACTGCCAGAACTATATCAACAAAATCGAGCCTTCAGGGTCCTTCTTCTGCATCCTGTTGAAAAATGTCCAATTTTGCATTCCTCTAGTCTTGAAGTGGGGCTGCGAAGCAGTGCAGATTTCCCCTGCCAATCAGTACTCACGATATGGCACGCTTCTGGTGTAGTAAAACCATCTTTACAGGGAGATTATATGCCGGCTATGTACCCCTGTTGGTTCATTTCAAATACTTCGAAATTTCGTACAATATAGATATGAATCGAAGCGAATTCGAATACTAGAATATTCGTTCAAATATACTAAGTGCCTAGATACCGTAGAATTTCAATAATATCTTTCCACTTAATATGATCTCTCGAATACTGCGTGTGCAATCACTAAGACTAATAAATATGCCCCCCCCCCCCTATTAGAGCCGTATATTATGAATTCCAGTTATTACATTCCCTGAAACTATGATTTGGGAACAACATTCAGCACCGTGAGAAACTGTGCTCCTATGAGACGTTCTGCAGCCAGAAACTACGTCACAGAGGGCTGCCGCACAGCAATGGTAACTTCTTCGCAGTGCCTGATCTTCCCCCTTTGCACTGCTTTGCTCAGCTGTTCCCTTCATGTCTTCTCTGAATCACTCAATTGTACTGTCCATGTGCTCTCCGAATAGCCTGATAGCTGCTATCTGTCAACCACACATCAAACAGCAGGCGGCAATGCTGGAGTCAAAATAAAACGGCTTTCAAAAAATTTTTTTTCCGCAGAACCAGGCCCGATTTCACCGAGCGTTGCAAACCCTCCATTTGCAGCATGGTAAATACATGCCCACTCGTTCCGCACACAAAATTTCGCTGAGACCTCCAAGGCTACAACAGCAGCAGTGGGAACACTGCTAAGCTAACAATGGTGCGTAAGAATGGAGGCTGCCGCTCCTCCAGTTCGCAACGGGTCGGCACAAGACCTACGCAAACGCACATGCCACTGCACTATGACACGCCGTGACGCGTAACCATAGCAATGCTGCCATTGTGCTCAGTGAATCTGGCTAATAATATGTTGTTTCCTCTGCACTTTTCTGCCGAAGTGTGTTCGTTTTCTGTCTCTTTTGGGCTGCTCTTCCCGTCCCACGGCACCCTTCCAGTTTGCATTGGTTGACTAGACGATTTTGCATACGCACGTGTACACCCTATGAAATTGATTGGGAGATGACTGATCGGACGTGCTATTCGAAGGTCACTGGGTTCAGTTTCTGCCAGTGGCAAGTTACCTTTTCATCCACTTTTCTTTCTTGACATTTGCATTACTATTACTTTTAATAACATCCCCTATACTTTTCTTGACATTGTTGTCTGTTATTACACAAAGAAAAGTGTGAAACAAGTCACCTCTTGCTCAACGTTGGTCCACGCGCATGGATGCCAGAAGCAACGCACGCCGAGATGCCGCCACTACTCTGCTGATCTTTACTTTGCGCCACACTTGGGGTCGACGTGGGAACTCGAACCGTCGATGCGAGTGGCGCTGGTGGCTTCGGCGGGCTCTCGAACACGCGGTAGAACAGCCGCAACGGCATGTCCTGTGCCCAAGAGAAGAAACCAGTGTCCAAAAAGTGCATAGTAGCAAGTTGTAGGCAATTTTATGTAAAACACATGGGAGTTGCCACCTATGATGGTTAAAGGTTGTTTTACTATTTATGTACATCATGAGGAGAAGTAGCAAGCTCATGAATCCTCAGATGGAGCCACAGTTTTCTTGCGCATGCATCTACTATAGCACAATTTGTCTAGTTGTTGAATAGGCAAAACTGCAATGCTGCTGCCTAATGTAGCCGCACCGAAACCCATTCGTAGTAGGGTTTAACGTCCCAAAACCACCATATGACTATGAAAGACGTTGTGGTGGAGAGCTTTACCACCTCGGGTTCTTTAATGTGCACCCAAATCTGAGCATACGGGCCTACAGCATTTTCGCTTCCATCTAAAATGCAGCCACCCCAGCCGGGATTCGATCCCACAACCTGCGAGTCAGCAGCCGAATACGTTAGCCATTAGACCAGCGTGGCGGGGCATGCTCTCCGTTTAACCACGTTACAATAAAGCCATACCTGACAAAGCAAGCCTGAAGCATTAACACTTTTTCCAATACAAAAAGACCGCTCAATTCACAGTGCCACATACCCTTTTCCAAGAATAGATGTAGGCAACGTCCATAAGCATGTAGTGACTCCAGAGAACATCGTCCATGTAAAGTATGTCCACCTGCAAAAAGACAGCAATGAGTCTGTCAGAGCATGACCTTCACATTAAAGGGGCTCTGCCACGCTGCTTGATCGTGCTGGCGATTTGCAGACAAGCTTCCTGCGAGCTTGCAAGCCAGACATTAAAGGGGCCCTGCAAGACTTTTTGAGCATGGTCAGAAAACACTGCGGATCGGTAGTAGAAGCTCCCAAAAACACGCAAGCACAGCGCTAGGCCTGGAATTCCCAATAAATTTTCAGTCAGCTGCAAATTGCTTTCTCTTCTCTTGACTAATGACGGAAGATGCTCGAAAATCGCTCGTAAAAGGCCTTCTATCAGCCATTGGCTGATTTCAACATGGTGCACTTGGTGGTTGCACAGATCGCCGCGAAAGGCCGTGACTCGTCCACGCGTGCACAAACGATCACACTCAAAAAGCAGCGTATTTAAAGGAAAAAAAAAAGAGTAAGGTCACGAAGCACACATGACATACTTTTTTTGCTCATGCAGTCCCTCCCTGCTTACCTTGTAGCGCTTTCGTCGGGACGAGAGAAGAGAAAACACGATTGCAGCGTGCGACAGATCTTTGTAGCTCCGATCGTACTGGACGAATTCTTAAAATTTTGCGGCGTTGCATTTGCGAGGCAATAAGCTCTTTTAGTGAATCCATTTCATGGTTACTTGAAGAAGTGTTTCAAGGCCCCTTTAAGTGCTGCAGCGCACAGTGGGGATATTTAATGTGGGGTCAATGACCACTGAAACTTGTTCACACCCTCCTCACCAAACTATGCAGCAGTCATAGATTAAAATGGGCCATTAACTATGAACTAGGAACAGGCGAACTATGCGGGAGGCATAAGAGCATGTGGGCGACCGCAACATACAACCTCACAGACACAATGCCACATCACGCAGGTACCGTGGTTCAGTGACGGCTGGATAACTGGCTTTAACACAACAAGTGCAGCGCATGCGTAGTGTGCTGATGGGTGGGGTGGATTGCATTGTTCTTTTTTTTAATCACACTTTGGCTTCTTCTTTTCCTTTCGTACAGGTGCCCTGTGGCCAGACATAATCGCTATAACGTGGGCAGTCCAGCAGGATAGCGAGGCGGCCTTGAGGCAAGGCCTCGACGTTTCCCCATGAGAGACCAAAGCAAGGGTCACGTGAGGCCTTGCCGGGTGTCCAATAAAGTTGCATCCATACATCCATTACACATAGTGTACTGTGTGAACATTCTGGCCAGTAGTTTACTTCAACTTAGAAGACATATCGAAGTAATTGTTTGTGGCTGCTCATCGTCGTATCTGACATATTGACATCAACCTTATTTATGAATAGGCTTGACTGCGATAAAGAGTGCGATCTCAAAGCATCCAGAAAAGCGACAAAAGAACAAAAAACAGCTACCAGAACTCAAATCCTGGTCGTCAGCTGGCGAAACATGGAATTGCAAGCCTGGAACACTATCATGCTGCGGTAAATGCTCTTCAAGTAACAATTAACAAGGCCGCAAGTTTCATATTTGACGTTTATTTTCTTCCTTGAAAGGATTTCAGAGGAGCACATAGCAGCTAACCAGGAACCACACACATAAATGTGAACAAAAACAGCACTTGTATGTTGGACTTAAACGAATGTACAGTCAGTGCCGAAGGTTTAGGCAACAAGAGATGAAAGAAAATGCTGAATATTCTTGGCGCTCCACCAGGCAGCCATCAATTTAGATTTCTGGCCTGTTCGAAAACATGCTAGCATGCACTCTGGAGTCCGATTGAATAAGGTAACAAATTACCGTAATTACTCGAATCTAACGCGCACCATTTTTCCGGTTAAGCGAGTTCATAAATCGCATGCGCTTTAGAATCGAGTACGAACAAAAACATTACGGTCAATCTATTGCCATCGGCAAATCCAAAATGGCCGCCCCCTACGTGCGTCGGCATGGCGCGTCGGCTATTTCAGCCTATGTGTTTCCCATGTGCGGCACTTCGTACGTGTGCTGAGGAGTTCGTCATCTAGTAGTGCATTAGCATCGACGGCGTGGAAGGGCCGACTCCAAAAACTCGAGTGCACCACGATGCCGCTTTTAAAAGAAAAGTCATCGCGTGTGCAGAAACGAGCGGAAATCGGGCCGCATCGCGGTCGTTCGGAGTTCCCGAAACGTGCGTGCGGGACCGGCGGAAACAAAAGCAGAAGATTGTCGGCAGCAAAGCTTCACGCAAAGGCTTCAGTGGACCACAGCAGGGTCGGTTTCCGCAAATTAAAGAGCTGCTCGGCGAGTATGTGCTTGAGCAGCGAGCGGCACTGCGGCCCGTGACGACAAAACTGCTCCAAGTGCGGGCTATGCAATCTTAGAAAAAGGTCTAATGCGGAGCCAGTTTAAAGCGAGCAGGTGCTGGCTAACTAACTTTATGAAGAGGAAAAGCTTTTCCTTTCGAAGGGGAACATGCATATGCGAAAAGTTTTGTGGAAGAGTACGATGAAAAACTTCACAGTTTTCAAAGGTTCGTCCTAAATTTGCGGCGCAACAACGGCTACCTGCTTGGGCAAATCGGAAATGCCGATCAGACGCCTCTTTACTTCGACATGCCTGGCACCACAACCGTCGAGAAAAAGGGGGCGAAGCAAGTTCGCGTGCTGACATCGGTCCACGATAAAACTACAGTGACGGCAATGCTCTGTTACACGTCAGATGGGCACAAGCTTCGCCCGTACCTCACATTTAAATGGAAGACGCTCCCGAAAGGAGTCGTTTTTTCGAGTGGTGTGATCGTGCGGGCCAGCGAGAAAAATGGGTGCGCGTTGCAATCGATGTCTTACGTTTTTTTTTTTTTTTTCGCGGTGAAAATCGGGTGCGCGTTACAATCGAGGGCGCGGTAGAATCGAGTAAATACGGTAATAACTTCAAGGTTTACTTCAGACTTTGTGGTCTCTAAACTTCTGACACTGACTGTACGCATTCACAATGGTTCGAGAGAAGAATCACTCAAGCATACCTTGTATCTCGCGCTGATGCTGTATTTCATTCGGAGGAACTTCTGAAGCAAGGCAATCGTCACAGCGGCCGGGCAATTGAGGTAACGTTTTGTGGGTTCCTGAATTAATGAAAAAAAAAGGGGGGGGGGGCATTCCAATTAGTGTAGTTCATCAAAAGATGTCATTATAACCTGGTCTGTCAATTAACACATGTCAATGCAGTGTTTCACAACAGAATTAAAAAGTGCAGTCACAACACTTGTAGAGAAATTAACAAATAATATGCCCCACTTTCTTGTAGTTTTCGCATTACACGAAATTGACAAGAAAAAGAGAAAACAACGGAAAGCATGAAATAATCTACTTAGTTCTTTAACTGAAATGCAAAATGACAAAGCACAGGGAAATGGAAGAAAAAGACCAGCGGCCACAGGCGAAAATTGTTCTCAACCAAGTATCTTTCCATTTACATTGTTGTTTTCACTTTTCAATTAATAAAAAAACAGGTAATTCACATCATGCAATGCATTCCCTGTTTTTCATTGTTATGATGAACAATCAAATTGGACTCTTCAATTAACCTTAAGTCTTACAAATTACACTAAAACTATTTGCCCACTTCAGGGAGCAGTTCGAAGGTTACGAGCCTGTGCAGGGGCACTAGCATAGGATAAATTTAGAACGAGTGATCAGAACTACGTCTTGAATTCTCCAATTTCGATTCCATCTAAGCCATCATACAGTGTTTAAAAGGCCACTTCAACCATATCCCAACACTCAGCCAGAGACTGTACACGACGCAAATGAGGAAAGCGACATAATGCTGACTGGAATAAAGCCCTGTCATTCCCCAGTCTCTTTACGAAGATGTAGACTCCATTCCATTCCCATTCCACAGCACCAGGCTTCCCAATAAGCTCCGAAATATTTGTGAATCTAAGAATAGGATGACAGCAGCTCAACAACCTTCTAATATAAGACTACAGTTAACACGGTCACATTATGAAGTGGCAAATATGGCAGTTAACGCCGTTTGCTTCAGGTGAATGCATACACACCTTAAATGCTTGGCTGCTCGGTCCGGCTGAAGATGCCTCGGGCTCCGCCTTAACGTCAACACTGGGAAGTGCAGAAAAAGATTGAACAGAAAGGTCAGGCAGTCCCCATGGGTGCATTCAACAAAAGTGAAACAGTTTCCCAACATTAAATTGTCAACCTATCGGCAAAGCATTGGCCCACGTTAACACAATGCAGAAAACTGTTCCAAGAAAAATGGTTCTCGAAAGAAAAATAAATGTTCAGCCACTTCAACACATAGTGAATATCGTATGACATTAAAACTGTAAGTGCGCAAGTGTAGGGGAGCGTAGACTAAGACAGCTTATTCTCAAAGCCAGCATCATCAGCATTATCAGCCTCACTTCGTTTTACTCATTTTATTATTCACTCCCACCCTCTTGTCACTTGACCTTCATCACCCCTATTACAACACAGGTGCAGCTGGCACCGATTCTTCTCTCTATGAGGAGTCTCTTACAAGCAGGAAACCACGTATGAATTTCCTTATCAAACCCTACTTTAATATAGGCGTACTAGTGTCTCCCAAATGTCTGTAACATCAGTCTCTCTTACAAAGAGGTTCGACTGTACTACTTTTACTCCTACTACTACTACTACTATTAGGACATCAACAACCACACAAGGCAGACACATCGTAGACTAATACAGTTCCGTTGTAAAAATGCCCTGGGTGCATATTGCCTTCAAGATACAATGGCCTTCACTGAAAAGGGTCAAGATGGCCGCTTACATGGGCTTGTATTCCAAGGAGAGGCTGACCGCTTCGTCAGGGCTGAAGATGATGCGACCTGAGCTCGAGCTGTCCAGTTCACCCTTTTGTTCGGGACTTAGCGACGCTTGGTCCGCTGAGAAAGAAACGCGAGAGAGAGATGGTCGTACAAGCGAGTGACAGGTTTATCAGCAAAACAGCATTAAAAACCTGCTGCTACTTCAGCACTGCAACCTGCGTTAGGCTCTGCACGTACTGGCTTGTACGTGCCACACAGCGGGCGGCGTAAGGCAGGCATAGAGTAATGGCACAAACTTTCTCCAAGTAGCCGCAGCTTTGTTCCATCCAACGCATGAGCCAGCCCACCGCTCGGCGCAAACTAACGACCAAATACACCTTCCTCTGTTGTTTTGCAATGGCAATGACAATGAGCCTGCCCCTCTGACAGTTGGCTGTCACCGATTTGCGACCATCGTTTTAATTTCACATCCCGCTTGCACCGTGCCGACAATTTTTTGGACTTATTTATCATGAGAGAAAGAAAGGGGCGCATTAGGTTTGAGTAAATAAATGCAGTACAGAGCCAGGCCAAAGCAGATAGCGATGTTTAAACAAAATAGTTCTCTCTCCCCTCCAAAGCCACCAAAATGTTACACGACTCGATTTCTGCGTTACACATAAACCTCACTATAACAAAGTTGCATCTGACAAAAAAAAAATCGCTACATCCAAAACTTGTTCTAAGCATATATTTGTAACGCCGTATTCAGACAAGACTATTCTTCACCTATTACTTGAAACCATTAATTTGTTATAAAGGGGCTCATTATGCTTGATATTTGAGTGCACAATAAAACATAAGCACAATCACACAGAAAACGAAACGTGATTGGACAAGCTAAACCAGTTTTACTTGCAAACACTACAAGCAGTTTTCTTTAACAAGCCTCGGACAAAAGACAACTGCACCAGGAAATACATAAAGTGCAACTTCTACAGCAGCCCTACTCGCAAGCACACAACAGCGCTGCCTTCTAATTACAGAGCATTACGAATGTCTATGAAGGGAGGTGTATATTATAGTGAGGTTCATCAAAAACTCACCCTTGCTGCCCTTGGTAGCATAGAAGTCTCGTCGCCGCTTCATTTCCTCTGAAAAATATATATATATATATGCAAACATGAAAACACACACACACATACAATACGTTAGCACTTATAAGTGGTCTCCTTCTCTGTCCTTTCTTTTTTCAGCAGTGTCCATTAGAGGGCCCATAATACATCAAGAGGTTAACACATAGCCACTAGAATTTTTCAATATGATACAACAATAGCAGGAATATGAGTATAATGATCCAAATGCAGCCTCCACTAGCTTCTCTTTTCCTTTTGCCACATAGAGTGAACACACTAACTCTAGAGGAAAAGCCGGGCGATAAAGCGATAATCACAAGACACTGACATCTTGGAACATTGCTGTTGTTGCCGATACAACACTTCAGCGAAGTGCCAAAATTTTGGCACTTCGCTGATCCATTAGCCAACCTTCGCTGGCTCTAACGAATAGGGAGTAGATTTTTAAAAATTTTGTTTGGCCGTACCTTTTCATGTTTGCCTGTCACATAACTAGCACATGCACTATGCTAATTCCCGCGCACTTGCATGTTTTCTACCTTTCAAAAATAAATTAGTTGAGAGTTAGCGCTCACCTGTCTTTTTTTTTTGTTCTGTACTTTGTGCGCACTGAAACAGTTATATTATGGACACATACCAACTCACATATGTTTTACTGAAATGAAAGCCCCTCTAAAGAATCTCTTACATAGGTAAAGTGTTGTCCACTGCTGGGCAGAGGATGCAAGCAATTTAGTTACAGGGTCTCCAATTAGAAGCACCCAACTAGTTCAAGCACATCTCTAATGTTTATTGTGCCTAAATGTATGTGCAGTTGAAAGAGCACGAACATCACATCTATCTAGCGCACTTTCTAAAAGCACTGTACTGTGAGGAAATAGATGCATTTATTCAAAGCCCTCTGCCCAATGCTGCAGCCCTCGAAACGGTCAGCTCGAACTGGCTCCAAAATCTTCTACTTGGCGGTTATCTTAGTGTTTTCGTATCCGCTGTGGGAGCAGCTCGACAAGATCACAGATGTTGTAAATTGTTTGAACCTGCTGGGTTTCGGCACCGAATTCGATGTAGGAAAACACCGTCTCGGCGTCTAAAGGCGCCAAATGAAAAAGACGCAAAGCCGAGCATCCATGTCGATGAGCATGTCTCGTTTCATCGAACGTTCTCTTCTTCGTTGTTCTCGAAGTCCTTCAACGTGCATGCCCTTCCCACGGGAGGTTCAAAGAACTTGCAACATCTGCAACCTTCACAGACTGCTTCCAGCATAGGAAAATTATGTCCGGATAGGCAGTCACAAATTCGACCCCTGCAGGAATCCCAGCAAACAAATGCTCATTCATCAAACGAGTGGCTCTACAGGAGCAAATGCCGCACTACTCACACCTCGCACCACAGTTTCAAGGCAATAGACCAAATAGCCACTTCACAGCACTCACTCTGATAAAGTCCTGGCACAGCCTTGTATACGACATTCTGTAAGGTGTCATCCTTTCTGCAAATTGAAGAAAGAAAACGAGTGGTAGGCACATTAAGGAGGAGTACGCAGCAACAGCCAAACAGAAAAAAAAAAACATGTTGACGTTTAAAAAATGACGCACATGGCAGGAGAGGGGGCAGGACAATGCTTGACATGTCTGTGCATGCATTTGTAGGTCAACACGCACACACATGCACGCACACACACACGCACGTCCAAGAGACTCTCAGTAAACTGAAATCTCTTAATTAGAACTGCTACTTAAATGGAACAACTCTTTTTAACATAATTTGTTTATGTACTTCAATTTCACGAGCTTGTTCAACTCTCATTATAAACAGAACTCCTAATAGATGGATGCATTTTTATGGTTCCTTCGGGTTCTGTACAATAAATGTCTGCTGCGTACACACGCAAAATTTAAAAAGTAAGGGGGGAGAAAAAGCTCACCCCCCCACCCCCCGACTCTTGCTATGCCAGCAACTTGCTCGAACTTCTCAAAGTATTGAAGAACAGAGGCGCTTACACGAGATGGCTCTCCATGTTGATCTTGGAGAGCCGCAGATCACAGACGGGACAGGCGTGGCCAGTTTCAAGGTGCTTCAGAATGCAGGACCTGCAAACTGGGTGGGAGAAGAGTCAATGAAACGAAAGTTCGTTAGAATGATGATAAAAGTTTGCAAGAAAAACGGACTAATTGAACTTAGCAAAAAAATGGCGTTAGCCTATTTCCTTCTCTTCACAATAACCATGGTGCACTGAGCAAGCTGAATTAACTATATTGTGTATCTGTAATGAATGAACACAGGCAAATGGAGTCATTTAAAACACCAGACTGAATAAAGTGACAAATTCGTGAACGAAGATTTTTATTTTAAAGGCATAGCTCCTGAAGTTACCACACACACAAAAAAACTAATAAATGAATACGAAATGATTCAGGGAAAAAAAGAAAAGTTGAATCATATATTCATTCTACTGTACGTGCTTGTGCAGCCGTAAACATATGCTTCTTACTGCATCCTTCGTGTCCGTGGAAGCTTGTATCTGCCCTGCGTATTGTATAACCAGTATATGTATTATATGTACATGTGCCTGCCGTTTGCTGGAGACTTAACTTCATGTGCCATCCTGCTAAAACCACGAATGGTTATTACAGTGCCTGCAAATTATTAAAATATTGAAACGCTTCAGGAGCCTTTGCCCAAACAGGATATTATGGAGAGGGAGTCTTGGCACATGCATGCAATGTACATTGTTTTTTCCTTTCTTCCTTTTTTTTTATTCCCCTCGTCTACTGCCTTGCCCAATGCTCTGTTCTAACTGTATCTCTTTTCCACGCAGCGGGTTTCTCCCACATGCATAGTAGCAGGACTTTCAGCTGCTACAGGCAGCAACGGTCATGAGCTCATATCCAAGGCCCTGGCAGTTGATGCTGAGCTATAAAAGTTCGAATAACAGGTGTGGTACACGAAGGTCTCCCATGCAACACCTAAGCACACAAACACCGACAGCCATGTCATCAGCCGAGAGCAATGGGCCCCAATGTTCGTAACGATTTCTACGCGCAGCCTTCAGCTCTTACTGGCGTTTGTTGATAAAGCTCGAGAGAAAAGAAAGGAAAACAAAAACGTCTTTGTTTCATTCATTGCAGGGCTGCAGTAACATCACATACAAACGGTCCTGAATGATTGGACAAGGCTTTTTACAAGGCGGCGAGCAAACCAGCGCTTAAATTAAAGTGCACATGTAATTTACACAAGCACACAGAAACAAAATCTGCTATGACTTGCTAAATGCAGTAGCCTTTTCCCACACTGAACACAATTCACCTCATAACAATGCATGATGGCAAAGCCACGTGCGCGTGCACTGCAGTGTGATGCTATCGCAAGTTCCTCACCGAGGCAACAATAGCACGGCAGCCGTAAATAACGAAGGCCACACACAAATGCAACAACCTCCCCTCCTTTTACATCAGTGAGTACAGGGGAGGGTCGTACGACAAGGTGTTCTGGTTCCTCAAGCCCCGAAAATTTTTGCTCCTGTAGCATTTGTTTTCGTTTCGGGTGGCTGCTTAACGGAATATTTATGGCTGTGCCCCTACAATTCGGGGGAGAAGTCAGAAATCGGGAGACCCAGACAAATCAGCAGAATTAGCAGGTACTTGAATACTGGTCAAACACTGCTTCAACAATGCCTACTATGCAGTTGTAATGAATTCAGTCAAAGCGAAACGGTTCTTCTCCAAGTATGTGCACGTGACAAATGCAAAGCGTGAACGTCGCATACGCGAGCCTCCCGTCCTCTTACACAGCTGTCTAAACATCAAACAAGGGCGTATTTTCGCCACCTTAGTGCCATCTGCTCATGGCTCCTAACCTGGATGTATAAGCTCTCTGGGAAGCCAGAGGTTCTAAAATCTCTGACCTCTGCATGAATTTAAGTAAATGAATTATTTAACTTAATTAGGTAAAAAGCTCAACTTGGAAACCATTTCTAGCCTTAGTAAAATTCTAAAATCAGTGATCTTACAAACCAACCACCCATGTTTTCTTTACAGTGACAAAAAGATCTAATGGTTCTAACTAAAGAAGATTGGCCTAGGTAATCAATATGTGGAAGAGTGAATAAGCGTTAGCTCTGTTTTGTGTTGCATTTGTTTCATGCTTTCTTTTGAAACTATAATAAAGCTTGGCCTTTACTTGCATAATAAACAATTCATCTTTTACTGCCAAACAAATGAAGGGCCAATTATGATCAAAGTAATTTCCTATCTAGGCCTGGCCTAGCCTTTCACAATAATTATGACCCACTGTAGGCCAGAGCTGCATCTTGAAAAGCTGCTATTCTGTCCCAACAAAAGCAAAGAAGCAGTGAGGCATTCTCCAGTACTCCAAGCAGGTTTACACTAGCAATTTTTGTTTGACATACAAAAGGCTACTTGACAAAGATCGTTATCCTTAACGATTGATCTCCAGAAAATCACATAAAAGATTGAATATATAATACCAGCTTGGACTAACGTGCAGATTTCACTGACGACAAAACAAAGGATGTTTACTAAATCTTTTAGTAAACTCAGTAAAAAGATATGTCGTTCCTAAGTCTGTGCACACCGCAAAGAACTAAAATGATGTTAAACAAGATTGTTTAAAAGCCCACCTCTGTTATACTCAATGCATGTGGCTGCTCAGTCTATGCTCACATCTACAGAACTGAACTAGAAGGTTATGTTCCCAAGAGGATAAAAAAAAAAAAAACTCCATCACAAAGACGCACGGTGAAATACATTCACGCATAAACTTGTACGAAGAACACTTACTGCCAGGTGCGGAAGCTGACTCAAAAAACATCTTTCCTGAGTCACGTCAGCATGTGCTGCATTTGCATTGTGTACAGAAAGAGCAATCGTACGAAACGAAAAGGTTTCCTCGGTAGATGTCGCAGGGATTGATTGACTGATGCACAAGATGAGATGACCAGCATTGCCACGTCTTTATGACATCAGCTTGCCCATGTCAAACATGACTTGAGAGTATCCAATGTCGGAGGTTGTTCTTCTTCAGCACTTACTGCCTCTATTTTATTCGAAGAACCAAAATTTATATAGAAAGCAGTGACAGGTGAAGAAAATTCCCGGTACTTCAATACTATGGGAGAGACAGCGACTTGGTGAAGCAGTGCAAAGCTAGGCTTGTCGAAGCTCTTTCTGGGCTATGCCGATGGTCTGCATGGCTTAGTGCAGGTACCAAAGGAGTGACATTGTGCAAGTTCATGACGGGTGCGATGCAGATAATCACAGGTGCGGCTACATCCTAATGTGGCATTATACGCGAGGCAACTGTGACTCCGCAAAAGGAACATCCCCTATGATCCCGAGGACTAAAGCTCAGCTGCTTTAGACTTTCCCACAGTGATGATTCAACCATTGCATAATGGAGTAGGTAGCTGAAAATGCAGACGCAAGCGAGAAACCGAGACACGAGAGCCAGCCTTTACTGAACCTTCACCTCAGAGGGTTAGCTTTTCCAACAGCTAACACTGCACTCGTGCTTTCCTCGTGACAAAGGCTCGAATTATGTAATGTCAAGCTTTCCGCCTTTTGCAACTGCCTCACTACGTGTTTGAGTAGTTTACAGTGTAAGGCTGCTTGAGATGGTGCACCGTTTTGTCATTCACAAACAATCTGCGATCGAGATGGGGTGTTCTTGGGCGACAATGCAGTCTTCCGATCTTCGCCATATAAAGTGTGGATTCCATGAATAAACATTGGTTGGAAGTTGGCACTCATCTCGTTTCTCCGTTTCTCGCATGTGTCTGTTTTTCACGCTACCTGCTCCGGTGTTCAATCGTACAGACTCAGAAGCGAAGCTGGCGGATTCGCCCTTCTCCTTACCCTCTTCTCCATCAGTTCCCTATCATATTTTTTTTTTATACTATAATATATACAAGGATTTGCTTGCTCTTTCTTACGTTTCCTTCAATCTTTTTTTCTCTTTTATTTCACTTTCTTTTCCTTTCTCTGTACTTGCGCTCTTGACCATCGAAGTTTTTTCGTCCCACACCAGACGAATCGGTACAAGTGTGCGAACAAAGCAGACGATGAGGAAGAGGATGAAGAGTTTTCTGGTGTCACCACCCCACAGTATAAACTCACAGGAGTGCAGGCACTTGACGAGTGTCATGGCGTCCACCAGATATCCCTTGCAGAGTTTGCAGGTGAGGCAGGGGTTGAGGACCACCACTTCGGGACGGGCCCCCGCACTCCCCGGCGGGGCGCCTCTGCCCTGCTGCGGAGCCGCCATCCGCTATGCCCACCGCTCCCTGCGTGAAGGTCGAGAGAAGGGCAGGTAGAAATGCGTTCATTACCGCCAATCACAATTTCTCAGAAATGCAACTTCCACATTGCTGTCAATGTGTCGTCAAAGGTTTCCATGAAAGAGTCAACGATCCTTAATGCATTGAACACCCATTGTGTTCAAAAAGGCTTCGTGATTGCACGCTACACATGTTTCCCTGCCAACAATCAACTCTCGCACACAATTGCGCCATTAGCCAAAAAATGCTACAAGTGCTCTTCACTCCAGCACACAATCACCGTTTGGAATAAGCCCGCTAAATATAATGCGATTAAATGTTCATTGTTTTTTTGAAACGCACCTGAATTGAAGTCTGGGCTAATCCTCCTACATTGCTAAGCGCTTGTACGAGGAATCAATTAAGAGGACCATTTTGATTGCACAAAACTGCAAACAGATCATAAATGACGCCCAAAAAAAGCATACCAGCCATTATTGAAAGCTTTTAATCAAAGCACAGAAATTTGTAGTTATTGTACAGGAGCTCACAGCACAGTATACACGGGTCCTCAATAAGCATGAGCACTGAATTAGAAGCCAAGTTTGTTTGGCAGACAAAAGTTATTGCATTAGCGGCCTATTCAGACTAATTTGACAGTGTATGTTGAGTGTGCCTGCCTGTAAGCTCCTGGAATGCATGGCGAACCCCGTTACCGACACCAAAGGCAGGACATCTCAGATGCACCACACGGCTGCAATTCCTTTGGCAAGCATCAATTCTGAAGCTGTGTAAAGAAGCCTTAAGGACTTACTGATTCACTGATTCTGGAGAAATGATAAAGCAAAATTCAGAATGTGCATAAGCAATAAGTCCGTTGAAATGGCTCAAGCAAGGAAAGGCTCTGGAATAATTTTTTGCCTTCACAGCAGTGAAACCAACTTCCCGGAATCGACACAGGAGAATGGTCGTTCAATTTCAGTAACAGCTGTAAGGCAAAAATGTTCCATGCTCAGTCTATTGTGGCGGGGCGATTGCTTGTTGTTCTAGGTCAACAATCCATCTAGAGTCTAGTTGTTCACGGAAGTCATCAGAATGCCGCGGTTTCGTTGAAATGCAGCAATAACAGCTGAAATCAAACGTAACCACATAACTTAGCCCCAACAACATTCTCAAGGCAACTTTGCACCTGCCCTTGCTGCCTTCGCCCTTCAAAACGAAGTGCTCAACGCATGCCGATGTTGAAAGAACTTTGACTCTATTGTCCTGTTACAAAAAGGAACAGATTAGCGGAATTACTTGCACGCGATTTCTAAGTAAGCACACTTGTCCGGAACTTGTAAGCTGTCCACTACACAACTGTGAAATTTCAATGAAGTCTGCAAGCAGGTTTAATTATGCATTATACAAAAATACGTTTTTTTTTTCAATGGTTCTGTGATGATGTAAACACTGAAAATAAGACCACAAGCACCGATGCACAAGGCTGGAGCAATTAATTAACTATGACAGCGCACTGCACTGCAAATCAACCTCCGTAATACCTTAAATTTACAGTGACAGAATGCGTCTCCTGTGCTGCCAAAAAAAAAAAAAAAAGCACTTCCACAGGTGTTGAAAATAAAGCGACACATGCCATTATCAACCATACCAATAGTGCCTACACATTGTTTAAAGGTCTATGGCGATGAACGGTACGACCCCCCCTCCCCTATGACGTCAGCTAACGTGCGAGCCCACGTGACCCCAACGGCTACGCGTCGTCTGCTAATCCTCGCTTGCCAAGGTGAGTTTCGCAGTTTTTTTATACTAACTACCAGTGGTTTCGAGAAATCGCGAGAAATAAATAACGTACTTTCGCCGACTTATTGTGCAACGTGCCGAGTTTCCGCTCTTACTAGAGCCCGGAAACGAAACCGCGAACAAGGATTACTACATAAGATCGACGCGGGCCAAGACTACAGCACATTTTCCATGATGCGCTAACGATTGCGTTTAGTTCATAACGAAACGATCATTTCAACATTATTACGTGGCCTCAGTCGTGGTCAGCTAAGTCGCGCCGGTGCGCCTGCTGTACTGACGCAACAGATCGAATTACGATTTCATAAAGCAACTGTTCCACGGTATCATTGTTTGCTCAGTCGGGGCGCCCTTTGCAAAGGACCGCGATCGAAATTCGCCTGCTCGTTTCCCCTTTTTTTTTATTCTGACAGCTCAGGCCTTGTCGGCGAGGCAACAGCTCTAACGACGCAACTGACCTCAATGTCGTGTGGCATTCAAAACGGTGGCGACTTCCGACATTAAAGCCAGGTCACCCATCAACAACGGCACTTGCCCAAGATGCTACCGCACTCCTCAAACCATTATTCACGGTGCGCTTCCAATAACTGATCCCAAACTTTGTGGTGCAACAAGCACCCTTAAAAAAAAACAGGTGACGCCTTGAGAGGAAAGCAGTCGGACCGCCCCCCAACTTTCGTGACAGTCCAGAGTCGCACTGAAACTGCCCGTTAAATCGGCGACAACGAGAAAGCTGTAAGTTCTGGCAGGCCAGTTCGCGGTAAATCTACGTCGAAAAATAAGAGCCCGCTGTACACTTTCCTTTCCTAGGCCTTCAATTACTCGCCTCGATCGCAACGATACGCTCAACTTCCTTCGTTAATTAAGGGTTCCGCCAGGCCTCGCCGACATCGCAAGCCGCTGGGAACCTCAAAAAGCTAATCGCTACCAATCGGAAAGCGAACAAATCCTCAGATTGCAATGAAAGTGCAGGCTACGCGAGATCGAAAGCCGTGTGCCGACCGGTAATCAAGCTTCAAGTAACAATTTGATTACGATGCTAGAGGCGTCTGCCTACCAACCCAGCCTTGGCAAATGGTCGTTTTGCGATCGAGGCTCGTCGCCGATCGCTACGTTAATCGGGCGCGTGTGAGTGTTCACGCCACGCGCTTGTTCGCTGGTTTCGACTTGCCAGGAAAGAAAAGAAGTGTTCAGTCACAACACCCGTACGGTCGAGTCCAAATCGATTGAGGTTTCGAGATTTTTTTTTTTTCTTTCTACCACGTCACCGAAGGAAGGTTGTTCCGCCTGCGTTAAGCGGCCCAGTCTGGACGTTACGACGCCGCAGTCACTTTGAAGAGCAAACCGAACGTTCCGCGACTGACTCGCGGTGGTTTTATGCGCCCAGAAGGGCCAGAGCTCACCTCATGAAAGCGGAAAACTGCGTCGGTCCGACTTCGGCGTGAACGTAGCAGCGGCCATTTCGCCCCGCTGCTAGGCCTAAGCGACGCTGACCGCCACGGAAACCGGGCCACATTCGTCGGCGACGTTGGGACGTCCCTTGTCGTGCGTTCGGGCGGACGTTTCAGTCTCGGCGAAGCGCGCTGTGTACCCGATAAATAGACGTAGACTCCGCTGGCTGCCGAGCGTGGTCGTCCATGTTTGTTTGCTACGCGAAAACCACTACACAGGGTTCCTCGACTGGTTTTCGAGCGGGCGCTAGGCGGCGGCACCGGTCAATAAGCACTCCCCCCAACCTCCTTCTCAAGCCACCGCTTTTTCTTTACTATTATTTCTTCTGTCGTTCATTCTTACGCACCCGCGTAGCTACGGACGTCGGAGCAGGGTTTCAGGATGAAGCGAAGGCAGCTTGAAGTTGGTTCGTTACGACGCGATGGTTTTATGGTTGTCGCACCAGTTGTTGTTAGTAGCGCTAGTCAACATGTGAGGAGTCAACGCACCACTATGTAAACAAAGCGCACTCACGGGGTGATCACTGCAGCGGAATGCTGAAGCGTGTGATGCGGCACGTCCGAGCGTGGGGGGCTCCGCATCCGAACGGCGGCGGAGTGGATGGCTCACGCTTTTCACATTTAGTTCGTCCGATGCGTCTCTCGCATGATAAGGTTTGCGTCACCACAAATACGAGACCTCTCAATGGTTATGCGAGAATTGAAACGTTTATCAGCCGACTGGCATTTGGCAGCTACCAATTGAGATTTTCAGCAGTATTGTTAAAACCTGGCTAATAAACGAGAACGTAAACAACTATATACCAGGCGATTAAAGAGGCTCGTAAACGGTTGAAGCGTGGCAGGGCATCAATATCTGTTAATGCAGTTTTATTGCACTTGAATGGTTAATCAAAACAACGGCTCAAAGTTTTCCTATGCCACTCGTAACGTACCTGGATATTTAACAGATATTTTGAATTATGGAGGTGCTATTGAAAGACTAAAGTGGGATTGTTATGACTCTCATAGCAACGAGAGTTACAAATGGGCGATAAAATATCGGAAAAGCTATCTGATTACTTATTATATCTGCTTTTGATTATACAGAATAATTCTACTTTCAAGAACTTTTATGTGCACTGACACACTTTTCCTGCTAATCACCATTGTATCTGCTGTTTGTGAACGTATATTACATTAAAATACTGCATGGTGCTTCATTTTTGTTTACGTAAGTTGCAGATATTTTTTTACTTATTTCTGTTTTTTGGACAAGTAAGATCTGCAACTCCGCACAGTGCACCCTACCATTCCGACTTCAACTTCCAGTTGCCACAGTACAACAGAAAACACTGGTTGTTAAAAACAATACAAAATCCAAGACCACGTGTCATTTGTCAACTGCAGAGGTCCAACATTCTTAGACAATCCAACGAGCTAAGAGTAGACAATCAGGACCAATCGACAGTATTACCAGGCCGGCTCAACAGTCAACATAACCAACCCTAGCAAAAATGCCAACAGTAACAACAAAAGCAACACTTTCGAGGCCACCAGAGATACGCTGCGAACAGCAGCAGAAAGCCATCCGCTCCTCGTGTTCCCTCGCGCTGCTACCATCCTTGGTCGCCACGGCAACGGCGTCGGAAAAATCGATGCCGGGACACGCTGCGAGCTTTAGCAGGGGTAGCGTAGGTGGGCAACAACCAACGCAATTCCGCGTCGTCAATGCCGACGCGTCGTGCTCCTCGGGCTATGCCGGAACAGCCAGGACGATCGCCCGGGGAGCTTTCTATCCGTCTCCGAAAAAAAGTGGGCTGGTGGCGGCGCCTAGCGGCGTGCTGATTCACGATTGGCGGGGGCATTCAGCAGCTTCCCCTTCTTTCGTATCATGCCCAGCGCGCCGCCAAGTGCTGTACGTTCATCGCCGAGGGCGAAGAAATGTCGAACGGAAGGAGCGGTGGGGACGTTTGGAGGGGGAAATCGTGACGTTTTTGGAGTCGCGGATTTTGAGAACGAGTGAGGCGCGAAAATGAGTGCGAGAGAGCGGCTGTGTCGTTGCTTGATTTTGCAAGTTTCGTTTGAGGAGGAAAAAAAAAGGTCGGCAGATAACCACAGTATTGTCAGACTGCCCTAATGCCCTAAAACGTGACTAGTAGGCAGAAATCTTTTTCGTGGAAGGGAGGGGACGTCAACCGACGTATATACGCCATCAGTATACACCGAACTTAATGATTGATTTGTGGCGTTTGTCTTATATCACGTCGCAAAGAAACACGGTGACTATGAAACACGCAAGCATTTGGTTATATATACAACTTTCATCGAAACGGGTAGCAACTAGACACGGAAACCGAATGGTGACGTCTCGGGTTAGTTTCCGACCCGCATCCGCCAAACGTTCCGATGGGGCGCTGCGCCCGTACTTACATTTACATTGAGGAAGCCAGGGCCAGCATTCCTTTCCAAGTGAGAGTATACGTGCATCGTATTCGAGACTATAGGTCCCTACAAGCACGTATGTTCACACAGACCCACATTTACGTCACACGTACGTCACGCGTACGTCACATGCACGTCACGTATTCTTGAGGCAGCACACAAGCTGGTCTCAACGGTCAGTCAATCCAACAGTACATTCACGCGGTGATAGACAACTGTCAAAAACATCTGTATCGATGTTCAAAGAAACTTGAGGGTGCACAGCACAACAAAAGAAAAGCAGGAAGAAGCATTCAATCCTCTTAACAATGTAATCCTTTTTTAGTGTTCAAATAATGTATTAGAACGGTTGGCGCCATCGTGGCGGCACCGGCAACTCCTCGCTTAGCCAGCAATACAGATAATACAAAAACAGGAATATGGAAAAGTTACAAAATATGTAAAAAGATGTTGGAGTAATAAATAGATAAGATAAAATGAATCCATAAGTACGCGTATGAATAAAATGTTTTCTATGGCGTATCACACGCATCAAAACACAGAAGCCCAATAATTACACATAAAAAAATTGGCGAACCGCATGAGACAGTGTAAATGCTAGAGGTTGAAAACGAGACAAACATGGCACTGAAACTTTTTTTTAGCTTGTTTAGTGTTGACATTTCAGCCTCCTCATGTGCATCCTTCGAGTTTTGGTGAGCTGAGCTCCACGAAAAGTTTCAATATAGTATATACTAAACAATAGCTCACCAAATAATTGTTCCGAAACATGCTGCGAAGCCAAGAAGCTGGACGTACATAGCGAACATGCAGCAGAGTGGCCGTCAGGGAACCAAGGAGCCTTGGTGAAGTTTAAGTGGTATCAGACAAATAAAAAATCCTAAAATGACGGGTGCTGCGCGAGGTTCTCACGCTGCTATGCTCGAGGACGCGCGTTCGATCACCTCGCCTCGACGGGGTCGAAATGCGAAGAACACCCTCATTGCGCTTATATAGGATCGTATTGACAAAGCAACCTTATCTTTATCTCGCGTTTTCCTCATCGGTCCTGTGTCTGTTGCGCGGTTGATAAACAACGCAGGCTGGTATCACAAAGCAAGCTTGTCGTAATTGTTTATTCTGTTACAATGTCTGCGTCCTTATAACGTATGCAAAGAGTGCGTAAATTTGAGCAAAACACAAGGGCAAGACGATAGCTATATCGCGAGAACAGAACGACGACGCAGAGACAAGAAGGACACGAAGGACCCGCGCGCTCGTGTCCTTCTTGTCCGTGCGTCGTCGTTCTATTCTCGCGCTATAGCTATCGTCATGTCATACCAACTAGCCCTCGTGTCCTTCTTGTCTCTGCGTCGTCGTTCTGTTCTCGCGCTATAGCTCGTCATGTCATACCAACTAGCCCTCGTGTCCTTCTTGTCTCTGCGTCGCCGTCGTTCTATTCTCGCGCTATAACTATCGTCACGGCATACAAACTAGCCCAAGCTGCCACACTTATAAGGGCAAGGTTGGTGTCTCCCTACTACGGAGCACCTCACAATAAAATCTCGGTGTTTTGCACGTGACACCGTTGAAATGGTGTGTTAATATCGCTATGAGAGACGCCGTAGTGGAGGGATCCCCGGAAACTTCAACCGCCTTGGGTTCTTTAACGTGCATCCAAGTCTGAGCACATGGTCCCATATACAGCATTTTCGCCTCCATCGAAAGTCCAGCCGCCGCAGCCGGGATTCCATCCCATGACCGGCGGGTCAGCGACCGAGTATTTTTGCTACTAGACCACCGCGGCGGCGCGTGCAGTGTTGTTGTGCAAAGCAGTCAACGGTATGCACACTATTGGTTAAAGAAAAGCTTACAAGAAGAACATCTTCCCACTCGAGTTTACCATAATAAAAAGAAACTAAGCAAACACATGGGAGGCGTTATTCGTCGCATTTCGTTGAGGCCCTCTATAAGGACGCATAAAGCAAAACTAGAAGTGGACGAACCCGTCTCGCTGGTCTACTGGTCACTGTGCTCACCTGATGACTCGAAGGGTGCGGGATCGAATCCCAACCGTGCGGTGGCCACATTTCGATGTAAGTGAAAGCCCCGCGTACTACAGAATTTAGGTGCACGTTAAACAACGCCAGATAGTCGAAACTTTCGGAGCCCTTCAGCGCTCCCGATAACCATATCGGGGACTTAAGACCCAAACAACAATTATAACGATGGATGAAAGCTCCGCCACGGCGGTCTAGTGGCTAAGGTACTCGGCCGCTGACCCTCAGGTCGCAGGATCGAATCCCGGATGCGGCGGCTGCATTTTCGATGGAGGCGGAAATGTTGTAGGCCCGTGTGCTCAGATTTGGGTGCACGTTAAAGAACCCCAGGTGGTAGAAATCTCTGGAGCCCTCCACTACGGCGCCTCTCATAATCATATGGTGGTCTTGGGACGTTAGACCACACATATCATCAACAGTGGATGAAAGAAAGAAAGAGAGAGAGAGAAAACACGCTGCTAGTGGGGACTGACTGAAGAACATCTGTTGATGATAGACAGGGAGGGTGGAGTAGCCCATAAAAGCTGCGGGCAGGTTCGATTGCCACAACCTCCTGTATATGCGTCGCCATAGATGAAAGCAGCATTGCTGTTGCTTCATGACCCGTATAGGCGCCGGCATACACGCCTTTCGGTGTTATCACTGCTATCGGTGTATACTCACCATCTAAGCGTCATCAAAGTGGCCTCTGGCAAGGGTGCTATCTTTCTCTCGACATACCCCCCCCCCTTACACACACACAGAGGTGCCGTCCTTT